AAGATCCAATGTCACTTCTAAACCCAATTCCTCTCATTGAATTCTTATCCTTCAAAGATTTAAAGGGGAAAGGCAAGCTATTTCCAGAAGATGACAGACGTCCCAAAGAGATCCAAAAGAATGCAGCCGTCAACACCTCAAATCCTACGGCCTACTGATCAAAGTCAACAAAATTAAAGTTTTCACTATAAAAGAAAAGATGAAACAACTTTGATTAAACGTACTTATTTGGTTGATATCTCTCTTACTATTCCCTGTCCTGTAAAAGGCTCACAAGGACCCAAGAAAACTTGGGTTCCTAAATCTGCTTAATATTTTGCAGGTTATCCGTGACGAGCAGTAGTTTGACGAAGAATGGTATATTGATAGTGGTTGCTCGCGTCACATGACGGAAGGAAGGAAGAACTGAGGGAGTTTCGGTCCTCAAGGATGGTGGAATTGTGAAGTACGGCAACAAACTCATATAGAACTATCAAAGGCTATGGAATGATTACGAATGGTGATTTCTCGATAAGAAAGGTCGCATCTGTTGAAGGGCTCCAACACAACCTTCTCCGTATCACAGCTGGTAGTTGGAACTGGATTGAAGGTATCGTTTGATGATGAAGGATCAGAAATAGTCGAAAAGAAGTCCATAACATTCTGCTGAAATCGAAGCGAAAGGGGGAAATGTACCCGTTAAAACTCAACCCAATTCGAGGTAAACCAGCAGTTTGCTTACTTACAAGGCTCACTCAGATGAAAGTTGGTTATGGCATCGAAGACTCTCTCATCTTAATTCAAGGATATCAACAAGCTGTTTTAGGAGATCATGTTCGAGGTCTTCCAGTTCTCAAATTCGACAAAGAACATCTATGTGCAGCCTGTGAAATGGAAAGAAAGCAGAGTAGACAAAGCATCCTTCTATTATCAACACAAAGGTGATAGAACCGTTGGAGCTGTTACATATTGATCTGTGTGGTCCCTCTTCTATTGAAAGTATGGTGGAGGGGACACAAGTATATTCTGGTTATAGTAGACGATTTCTCTCGGTTCACATGGGTGTGTTTTTCCTGAAGCAAAAATCTGAGGCTACTCCAAAGCTCAAGCTCTTCATAAAGCAGGGAGAAATTCAACTGAGGAAAGTTGTTCGTAACGTAAGAAGTGACAACGGCTTGGAATTCAAGAACAAAGATTTTGAAGATTTTCTTGCTTGAGAAGGGAACAACTCATAATTTCTCACCCCATATACTCCACAGCAGAAAATGGAATCGTGAAAGGCGAAACCGATCTCTTGTGTGAAGCAGCTCGAACGATGTTATGCTTCGCATCCTTGCCTTTTATTTCTGGGCTGATGCGTGCTGTGCTGTTATACTCAGAACAGATCATATCTAAACAAGCGATTCTCTATCACTCCTTACGAGATCTTGAACAATCGCAAACCGAATGTGAAATCTTCCATGTGTTCGGTTCAAGATGCTTCGTCTTCAACTCTAAACAGAATCGAAACAATTTTGCTAAGGCTGATGAAGGAATATTCTAGGTTACTCCCTGAATTCTAAGGCATATAGAGTTCTAAACAAACAACGCGCTCTAAGAAGTTGAATAAACATACTATGTCACTTTTGACGATAGCTATGTTAGAAGATGAAGACAACCGAAGGTGCAATAGGCAGGAAATCTTTCCAAAGACTAGTCAGGTTACCGCCTCTATTTCAAATCTTTTCGAGCAATATATGCTTCTTTTTGATGAGCCTCAAACGGCAATTGATTCTAAATCAAAGGCGAAAGACAACAAGGTTGATAGTCTAAAGCAAAATCATCAACGATGCTGCTCAAAAGATGGCTGCTGATCAACCTAAAGCAACCGAGAGGCCAGACATAAGCGAACCTTCGAATGACCGTTCTTCTATCCAGGGGGAGGGTCCGTCTCTACAACACGATCAAGGTTCTTCATTCCAGGGGGATAATTCAACGTCACAATCATCAAGCTCTTCTGAAAGTCCAAACGAAGAAGGAGAACATTCTAATCCCGATACTGAACAGGTGTCATCATTGAGGGGGGGGAGAACACAAATGTCAATGATGATGAAATACTATCAGAATTGGAAGAAGAAATCAATGCAGAACTAGATCCCTCTTGTGATCCAAATTACCCACCTCTTATTAAATAGACCAAAGATCATCCACAAAGTCAAATCATTGGGGAATCTTCAGAAAAGGTGTTAACTCGATCACAGATCAAAGCGAAACAAGATGCTCTCTTCTCTCAAGTAGAGTTTTGCATGTTCAACTCCTTTGTTTCCAAAGTTGAACAAAGACTATTAATTCAGCACTTGATCATTCTGACTGGGTTCAAGCCATGCAAGATGAGTTGAATGAGTTTGAAAAGAACACAAAAGTATGGCGCCTTATTCCAACTCCAAAGGATGCTTCGGTTGTCGGTCTCAAATGGGTATTCAGAAACAAGATGGATAGGAGGGGAACGTGATTCGTAACAAAGCTCGGTTGGTTGTGAAGGCTACTGTCAGGAAGAAGGTATTGATTATAAAGAGACCTTCGCTCCTGTTGCAAATTAGAGGCTGTTCGTATCTTTCTTGCCTATGCTGCACACAAAACTTTGAAGCTATCAGATGGGACGTCAAGTGTGCCTTCTCACCGGAGAACTTGAAGAAACTGTGTATGTTGAGGCAACCGCCAGGCTTCATCAACGAGAAGTATCCAATCACTGTTACATACTTGACAAAGCGGTTTATGGCCTAAAGCAGGCTCCCAAGCAGGTATGAAACTCTAACTCGAATCTTAAAAAGTCTAAATTCAAACAAGGTTCGGTTGACCCAAACCTTCTTTCGTAAGAGAGAGGGTAACCACCTTATGATAGTCCAAATTTAGGTTTGATGACATCATCTTCGGCTCCACGAATCCCAAGCTTAACAGTTGAATTCAGGAAGTTGATGGAAACTAAATTTGAGATGAGCTCAATGGGTCCAATTAACTTTTCCTTGGGCTTAAACATTAGACAGGGACCCGAAGGCATTTTTAATCATCAATCAGGAGGCATACACAAGAGACATTACTTGCTAAGTTTGGCATGATGGGAGACTCCAAAGTTAAAGTTCCAATGGCTTTGGGGACAAAGCTTACACTTCGTTGGAGAAACCAGCCGCTGACATGACGCTCTAATCGTCAAATGATTGGGTCTCTGATGTATCTCACAGCTAGTAGACCTGACATCATTTTTTCATTGTCTGTTTTGTGCCAGATTTCAAGCTAAACCACGCGAACCTCATTTGCAAGCTGTGAAACATCTTTTCGCTATCTGAAGTTAACCTCCTCTCTCGGTCTGTGGTTCCACCCAACTCAGGATTCTTTGTCCAAGCGTTCTCAGACGCTGACTTAGGTGGCTGTAGATTAGATCGTAAAAGTACCACTGGAGGATGCCAATTTCTCGACGGTAAATTGGTTAGCTGGCAATCAAAGAAACAAACTTGTGTTTCTCTCTCCACTGCAGAAGCTGAATACATCGCTGCAGCCATCATGTACATCTCAAGTTGTATGGATACAAAGTCAGCTTAGAATTACGGGCTGAACATGAAGAAAATCCCACTATATTGCGACTCTGAAAGTGCAATTAGGATTTGCCACAACCCAGTGCAACACTCGAAGACTAAACATATAGCACTGAGGTATCACTTTATCAAAGATCACGTGGAAGATGGCAACGTGGAAATTCATTTCGTAAGACAACTGATCAACTGGCAGATAGATTCACTAAGGCTTTACCTGAAGCAAGCTTCAACAAGATTTTGCAAGGCCTAGGAATGATGGAAACAGATGCACCCCAAAATCTCGCCTTCAACCACCCCTTACTTCCTCCGCCCGCTGCCAACCTTTTGCCTCCACCACCGGTTTTGCGAAGCTGCTGTTTGAAGATGTGAACCGCCACCCCCCCTTCACACTCGTTGATTCTGCTCTGAGTCGCTACTCGTTCCCTTCTACTTATTCTTCCACCGTTCTTAGCCGCGTAAGGCAGCTGCCGACGCTGTTTCGGTTTTCCTTCTTCTCCTGTTTCCTCTCCGCAGCAAGAAACCGACATCCGCTGCTTGCCGCCTCGGAGGTTGATGAGCTCGTGGTGTTTCCGTTATGACCGGAGCACGGTGACGAGTTTTTCAAGGCTTGTATTCTGACAGGGGTGCGCTGTGTGTTCATTTCACGAATAGAAGCGTGTGTTCAGATCAGTTTGCGTGTGGATGCTTGACTGGAAATCATGGGGTTTGGAGTTGTGTTTATATATGTCGAAATAAGGAGAGGATAAGGGTTCTGGGTCTGTGAAGAGAGAACGATGATTTTAGAGAAGTAGGGGGAATCGGTGGTGGTGTTATATGAAACTGATAACCTAAATTAGTGGGATATTGATTGATTTTGTTTTTTTTACCATAATTAACTATAGTGTAGATTACTCTTATACCCTTTTATTATTTATTAGTGATTTAATTATTTCTTGAATTCTCATTGGTGCATTTAGGCACACAATACTTGCTAAAAACATTTGAACCTAGCTATATATATATATATATATATATATATATTATATATATATATATATATATATATATATATATGGAATTTTTCCTTTCTAAAATAGGAATCTAATCCAATAATATTAAATTTTAAGTCATACAAACCTTTAAGCTGAAGTACAATCAATATCAATAAATAATACTCAACTTTTAAATTGTCGTGAGAATACAATCAACCGATGCATATACTTCTATATATCTACCCGGAATTTTGACCCAACCCTCATTAATCGCTGATTGAGTATGGTAAATCCACAAATATGGAAAAAAAAAATCTCTTAATTTTGGCGGGCCTTCCCTAAAAATGAAGGTAGTTAGCCGGTTATGAGGGGTGTAAACTATAAATTAGTAAGAAATAAAGAATAATAGTAAACAAATTGATTCGTATGAAACAATAAGTTATAATATCTACCTCTTCTAATAAATAAAACCAAATCATGCCACTTGTCTCTTTTTTCTACACTCTTTTTTTTTGCCACATGACATTCTCTTAAAACCCTTACTATATTTCCAGTATATTATTTCATCCAAAACTATTCCTGAAAATCAGGCATAAAATTAGATACTTCTCTATTATCCTTAAATATATTTTACGCATTCCTGCTATGCATACGAGAAATTAACCGCTAAAACCGAGATTCTTGGTTAATTATCAATATCCTAACAAAGATAAAGGTAATTGTTTCCAATGTTAAATGTCAATCTCTTTATTTATACAATTTGAAATCAAAACATCACTTTCATATTCAAATTACACATAATGTATCTTTGGTCCGTAGTCTTTTTTTTTTTCTTATTTAGTTTTTTAACTTGATTTCTTTGTATTACTTTGTGTTCAAGATTATTGGTAGAAATTTTCTTTATAATTTTCCGAAAAAATACACTCATCAATATGGAGATTGATCACATGAGTTCTCAATGTAAAGGAAAGTGAGTATTGCAAATTGAAATAATACCGGTATTCATCCCACCACTCTTTTTTTTTTATTTCGGGTGAATTTCATATATACCCTTATTAAACTTCTAAATATCGTATTTGCCCGACTTAAATTTTAAATATCGTATTTGTCCTTCTTAATGTTTTAAAATATCGGATTTGCCCAAATCTATTTTTTTAACAGTTTTATTTTTTAAAAATCCTTTTTTATATATTAAAATCATCAAAATAAAAAAATAACCAAATAGACCATAATACCCTTGCCTTCTAAATCACAAAAATCCATTACCTGCCACATTTGGAATCACGGTCAATATATGTAACCCTGTCTATTTTTTTCGTGCCTTCTGCCAATAATTTGCTGTAGTCGTATGTACAACTTAAGAAGAGTTTAGCAGTGAAGTTGAGTCTGCAATTGCTGCATTTCTAGTGTATCACTGTTGACTCTTCCATGGTCATGCAGATCTCACGCATCTCTTTAAAGTCGCAAATCATGAAGCTAAAAAATCTCTTTAAAATCGCAAATCATGAAGCTAAAAAATCTCGTTCACAGAATCGGTTACTTAGGGTGGTTAGTATCAATTTGTAACTTATTCAACAATAATCCCAAAATATTAACAAACAATGTAATTATGATAATCTGTGTGGTTTCCACTTTCTCCCTATTTTAATATATACTGCAGATCATCAGCAGTTCCACAACACCAATGCCCACAAACCAAAAGCTCTCCACATTTGATGTGATTTACCTACACGATTACCTATAGTTTATACCTATGATTTTTGAAGCTATCCATAGTTCTAATCACGAAATGAATAATCAATTAACAAATATAAAACATAAAATTACATGATGATTATACAATTGCAGCAAAAAATTGGCAGAAGGCGTGAAGAAAAAAAAGAAGAGGCAGTGTTACAATATCGATCGTGATTCCAATTGACGCAGGTAATGGATTGTTGTGATTTAGAATGCAAGGGTATTATTGTCCATTTGGTTATTTAGTATTTTTTTTGATGATTTTAATATATAAAAAAGTATTCTTAAATAATAATAATAGTTTAAAAAATAGATTTGGGCATATCCGATATTTTAAAAAATTAAGAAGGGCAAATACGATATTTAGAGTTTATGTCGGACAAATACGATATTTAGACGTTTAACAAGGGTATATACGAAATTCTCCCTTTTATTTTTTATGTAATTTTAAGTTACTTCTTTAATGATTTCATCCTTTTTATGTAATTTTAAGCTTACTTTTAAGTTTTGTTTACGGAGTAGATTGCAAAGATGATGATGGTCGTTGACTGTGGTTTACGATTATGATTTTAATTGCGCCTTCAATAATTGGGAAATTGGAGGCTTAGATCATATCCAACTATAAAGAGGTCATGTAACAAGTTAGAAAGGAGGTGTTAATGGTTCTGAAGCTATTGTGAATTTTGATGTCTCCGACTCTGTTTTCCTTGTATAATTTGCAACTTATTATTATATACATATCTTAATAGATCCAACTAAAACTATATTCTTTAAAACTTGATTCTCATATTATTATAGTAAATATTGATTTTTACTCTTTGATCGTCACTGGTTTGGTTACCTCATACTAATGTGGGTTGCATGGATATGTTTTTGCAGTTAAATACAGGAATGGCTACGTTAGATGAAATATTAGATGAAATATTCTCTGGAGCTTTTGAATTTATCAAATGGATAGGTTTTATAGCCTCTTAAAGCATCATTTTGCATTTTCATATTTTTTGTTGTTCTTGATGATGACCAGTTAAATATTTTTCATATTATATTATTATATTTTTATTATTAATCATGAATTAAATAATATTATTAAAATTTTATAACCATTTTAAATATTATTATACATAAGGATCATATATACATCAATATTTATATACAAACATGTGTTTGCATATGATTAAATAAATTGGTTTTTTTATTATATAATTTTTTATTGTTAGGGACTCGTGAGAAGACTTTCTTTCTATATCTCCTCCGTTTATGATATTAATTTAAATAACGACAATATAGTAACGGTTTAACATATTAAATTTTGTAAAAAAACTTAATGACTGCAAATCTATTAATAATGATTACTATTTTTATAATTTGTATGTTATTTTACTTTGCGAACCGTGGTTTCCACGGGTTATAACCTAGTTATTAATAATCCAAACATAAAGAATGTTGGTAATATCTTTTTTACATAATTAATTTAAATTGAAATTATGTTGTTACTGGGAAAATATAGATGTCAATATTTGTTTATTGGTACAGATTCAATTTGTAACATCCGTAAAAATCATGATAAATTTAAAATTTTTAAAAACAACCCAATTCATAATTGTTTACAAATAATTTTCAAAACATTTTCAACATCAGAGTCTCCCAAAATCACAAGTAAAAAACATGAGGATGTGTACGGTCACGTCTTCGTCTTCCCGCGGTCATCTAAAGTACCTGAAACATAACCCAAAACTGTAAGCCACCGCTTAGTGAGATTCCCCAAAGTACCAACACACAATCAAATAACATATACAATAACAACATGTCAGGTCCAATCAACCATCGGGTTGGAATACCCCAGGTCCCTTAACCATCGAGTATGCCATACATTATGGGCCCAGTCAACATCAGTTTGGAATACCCCAGGCCCATCAACCATCGGATTGGAATGTCAATACATAACAGGTCCTGTCATCCTCGGGATGGAATACCCTCGGGCCTACTCAACCATCGGGTTGGAATGTCCCCGATCTGTGGGGCTCACCCAAACCAAATGCACATGTAGACATTAACAATGAAAAAAGATTACAGGATGCCGACCCCACGACAAGGAACTCATACTCTTCATGCAAATCCTCATTGTAATGTAGAAAAATGCAAACTCACATTACTATAAAACAATTATACATTCGATTATTATTCATTCAAGATAAACTACTACAATTAGTGACTGAATAATTAGTTAGTGACTTATAAGTTACCATTAATGATTCATATGATTATATAATATGACGATTTCAACATCATGAGGAAAAGTTGGGGTGTGTGCATAGCTACATGAGATGCTCTAGGTGTAGTTGACTGAAACAAATGGTGCAATTGAATGATTTTGTGCTCTTAACTCAGATTCTGTGATAATGATGAACGATGCTACTTAATAATTGAAGACGATGCATTGTTACAAGGATTGGAAAATTTAGAAGCAGGGGTAATATGGTCTATTTTATTTTATTATAATTATAATGATTTCAAAATATAAAAATTAATTATAAAATAATAAAAAATATGAAATTTTAATTTTTGGGCAAATATGATATTTTAAAAGCTTAAGAAGGATAAATATGATATTTAGAAATAATACCGGGTAAATATGATATTTTCATGTTTAATAAGGGCATATACGAAATTCTCCCTAATTGGAATTTGATTTCAAGTGTTATTTCCATAAAAGACCTTGTATTTTTTTAACCAAAAAAATCTCAAAAAGGCCATAGTTTTTGCAACTACCTGTTATTTTCATTAGATAAGCAGTAGAGAGGTAAACCTGGAAAAAAAAG